CCTTGCTAGTCTAAAATCACTCTGAGGACAGGGGCTGTGTTACCTGTTTACAGTTGAATGCTTAGAGCCTAGCTGAGTGCCTGATAGGTGCAGAGTAGAATGGTCAAGATACGCACCGCCTCACCGCTCCCCCTCTCAGAGTTCTCTGGTGTCTTATTTCACGTTGTTCCTTAGCTCAGAGCACTGTCTGTATTTCTCACTTGGCCTTTATGTAGATTACCTTGGATTAACTCTTCCTGTGAGTATCTCTTGTCTCTCTGAGTGCAGGCTTCTTGAGGAAGGGGAGGGCATTTAGATCTTCAAGAGAAGGACATGCAACTGTTCTATGTGCCAGGCATGGTTGATGTCTTCTCAATTTTCACTCTAGAGTGGATATTAAACCCGTTTTACAGAAGAGGAGACTATAACTCAGGGAGGTGAAGGGGTGCTGAGGCCCTGTAATTCGATGGACGTGAATAACTGAAGGAGAGAGTGCTGCTTCTATCTCCCCCGCCCCCCCGTGGCCCTTTATTAGGCACCTGCCACACCAGCCCAGCCCACCTCCAGGTGCCCTAGGCACCTCCATGCTGCTGGGGCTGCCCGCAGGTGCACGAGTGCTCAGCGCCACCTAGTGGGCTGGGGCCGGGTAAGAGCACGTCCCAGTCTTCCCCAGACTGTGCAACTGGCGATTGCTCCGCGTCACAGAGTCCAGGAGGCCCAAGATACTGCCCCTGTCTATTTCCAGAGAGTGTGGAGACCTTCCAGAGAGAGCGTTACTGCTCCCGGGTTCCGGGGAAGCCTGGGCCCGATGGCAGCAAATACCCAAGAGGTGCCCTTCCCCCCGCCCCCCGCCACACACACTTCGTGTCTTTCTCATCCTTCCTCAGCCACAAAGAGGCCATTGATTTGGAAGAGTAGCCAGGTTGTGGTAGGAAAGCCGAAAGGGACATATGGATACACTGACCCTCACCTCCCCGCAGCCGGTAGCTCTTTGAAGGGGACTCGGAGGCATGGGGCTGGGACTGGTTCTAGGGGAAAGCTCTGCTTCCGTCAGGCCAGCTCCTTGCCTGCCCCCGTCGCCTAATTTTTGCATCCACCTTTGTGTGAATCCGAAACAAATGGTTCATCCCAGGCTGGCCTATATACCCGCCCCAGTGTGTGGTCTCCTCTCCCAGCAAAGATGTTGGTGGCACTTAGGGGTCCTTTTAAATACCAGGCAAGGCCAATATTGTTAGGAAGGAAGAACTGATGTTACAGCTGCTGCAAAGACAAATATATGTAGTAATGCATTCCAGGCTGATGAGAAGGTTTGAATATGCTGCTGCTCTGGTTTATCAGTGCCTGGTCCTCTCCATAGAAGATCTAATAGGTGACTCACAATACCCAGAGGAAGAAGTTTGAGGGGACTATGTGAAGGGGGATGGGAGGCTGGAGAAGGCGGGGGCAGGAACAGTTTTGGCAGCAAGGATTCCCTGCATCTCTCTTCTTATCTTACCCCTAGAGGTGTAGTTGGATTTGACCTTTGGCTAGAGGTGGTGCTTCTGAGCATTCTACAAATTCCTGCTTCATCATTTCTGTGACAGGGAAGTCCTTACCTCTCACAGCTTCCAAATTCTGGGCACTCTGACCCTTTAGAGTCCTGGGCTACCAGAACTGCCCCAGGTTTCCTACCAGTCCATCTACATCTGAGGTAGACCCAATACCCTACTACCTTGCCCCAGTCCTGGTTCCTGACCCACCCCTTTCTTACAGTTAGGCCGCAGTAAGGGTGGCTGACAGTTGGTTCTCATAAAAAGACAACTGGGAGTGGTAGAAAACAGGCTAATTGAAATCCCACTTGGTGCCTGCCTGGAAGCTTCTGCTTGCCACCTGGATGGCTGTGTGTACACAGGAATCGCTGGGTGCTAGGGGAGGGCTTGGGTGGGGCTGATGGCTTGCCTGGTTTAAAACACTCCTTCCTGATCCCCAAAGCCAGTGTGGAGAGTGTGCCTTTGTATGTCTCTATTTGTGCTCACATGGGTGCTGGGAGATGTAGGTTTATTCACATATTCACAGTCTTGGAATTGGAAGGGACTTGAGAAGAGATCCCTGACTCCCACTCTGCTTTTGCCACATTCATGCCAAATGCACATCTGGATTCTGCTCACTTGCTCCTAGTGACAGAGAGCTCACTACTTCCCAAGGCAGTTTACTGGCAGGACTCTGGGATCTTCTCTGACAATTGGAATACTGAATTAGAAACTGTGCTGGGCAGCCTAGACATTCCTCCTGTCTGCCACTACAGGAAAGCAGAGCCAGGACAAAGTGTCAAGAAACAGCACCTTGATATAGTTACAGCCAATGTTTACTGAGTACCTGCTATCAGTCAGGCACTGCGCTAAGTGTCACCCATATAATAATCTTTATAAAACTCTATGAAGTCATGTTTGTTGTTAGTCCATTATATTGAGGAGAGCTGAAGCACAAAGAAGTTAAGGTGTGTGCCTGAAATTTCACAGCCAAAAGTGGCAAAGCCAGGATTCAAAACCAGGAGCTCTAACTCTGCCTGAGCTTAGTCACCATGTGAAATTGCAGGCAGCACCCAGAGAGTGAGAGAGTGAGCATGTGTGTGTGTGTGTGTGTGTGTGTGTGTGTGTGTGTGTGTGTATCTTCACCACCTTTTCTGGGAAGCAGACCCCAGTGGTGTTATAGGCAATTGAGAACCCTGGACAAGGAATTAGGAGACCAGAAATTGCCCTTTTCTTCTTTCTCTTCCTCCCTTTTCCCTTCCCCTGTCCCTCCCCTTCCTCCCCTCCTCCTCCATCACCATTGCCTCACCATCTGAATTTAAAGTCATCTTCTGAGTAGTTATGTATTCAGGGGTTCTGAAGCAAGAAACTTTGGGAGTTTCCAGGCCAAGACAGATGTGTTGGTCTAGACAGATACTAGGGGACATACTCATAGTGATGTAGCATAGGATAAATGTGGTTGGTTGGCTGGGAAATAAATGGGGAAGATCTATATTTCCATTCCACATCAGCTGAGGGTTAGGCAGTGTTTTATGTTCGATTTTATGTCTAGACAGAGTTTGGGGGTAAGGTTATCACTTCTGATCAGTGCAAGAAGGCTTCTCCAGGTGCAGCTTTCAGGAGCTCTCCTGCCGTCATGGCTTTGTCATCTGTGTTCAAGAGTAAGACTTGGGTAGAGTAGGGCAAGGGAACAAACACTAGATTGGAGTCAGGACACTGGGATCTTTGGCCTTGGATCTGCCACGAGCTTGGTGTGTGACCTTGATAAATTATCCTGCCCTTTTGGGTCTCTACTTCCTCATTTGTAAAATAAGAGGTTAAGCCCTGTTGGTCTATCAGGCCCCTTCAATGTGTGTACTCCCTGAAGTCTGTCAAATAAGGCTGCTGTGTGCAGGTGGGCAGACTGTGCGTTGTGCAAAGACACTTGGCCAAGAGGTGGATGGGGGCTGATAATCTAGCCTATGCTCTTCTCACCAGGCATACGAGGTATTTTTTTTTTTTTCTAATTTGTGCAGGGGCACTACAAGGAACAGCAGTGGACCTGCAAGGTCTTCATGCAGACTGCCTCCTTGTTGTTGGAATCCAAGTTGTAGGGTGTGATAAGGAGAGTTTCTTTATCAGAGAGTGAGATGTTGGGTTAGGGGAATGAAGCATAATGACTATGGAGGGAGGAATAAGGTGAGGTTCTACTGTCCATTAACTGCCCAAGAATGCTGGTTGAGCAGGGAGCGGTGGGAAAACATCAGCTTAGAGCTCAATCTGGGATAGAGAGGAAGGTTGGGGGTAGGGAAGGAAGGGAGGCAGGTCTGAGCTGATGGTGGGTGATCCACTTGGAATGGGCCCTTGGGCTGAGGTCAGGGCTCCCCTGGGAGGTCTAGCTCACCCCTGTCTCCAGTCACTCCTGAGCAGCTGGTCTCTTTGGAGCAGCCCTTTCTGCTGAACTTCCATTTAGAGGGACATGGGAAGGACTTGGGATTTTTCCTGGGCCTTCTGAGAAGGCCGTAGACTCTTTTAGAGGGTGTTCCCTTATTCAACAAATGATTCTGGAGGCCTAATCTGTGCCAGGCTCTGTGATGAATAGACAGGCATGAACTCTACTCTCGGGGAACTTACAGTCTAATTGTGCCTTTGTCACGGGTCTAAAGGGATATGGCCCTTGTCATCTGAGATGGGGGAGATCTGAGGGCACTGTTAGATAGTTTGGTGTTTACACTGGGCTCAGTCTGAGGCAAAGGGTTTTACCCTAGAACCGAGACTATGGGAGGCTACCAGTTTGGGCCTTATTGGCTTTTGAGAAGTAAAAGATATTGTGGAGACAAATTTCTGAGGCTCCCCAGTATCCAGGGAGGATGTGGGGTCACTGAGGAGGAAAATTGGAGGCAAAGGGCTTCTGGAAGGGAGGAAGGAGAGGTGGGCAGGCTGGGAAGTTTCTGTGGGGGAAAAGCTTCACTTTCACTTGGTCAGGGGAGGGACTGAAAATGAGCTGGTGTGGGAGCAGGCACTGAGGAACTTATTCTGTGAGGCAACCTACTGCTGATCAAAGGCTGGGCCTCTGGAGACTGTTTCATCTCCCTCCCCACTCCCACCCCAGCACATAGCTGTTCAGAAGAGGTATCCCTTCTCATTCTTTTGGATCTTCTCAGTAAATCCTATATTATCTGGCATTTGATGTTCTTTCACAAGAGAAAGTTACCTCTTTGTCTAACTCAAAGTTCTTCCTACTGTAGGTCCTGCTCATTCCCACACAACATATCAGGTACAAGTTTTGGATGTCAAACCATTAGAATGGCCAAGCTTTTCCTGGCCACTCTGTCTCCTCAGCAGTTCAGTGGTGTAGGTTTGGAATGAAGCATGATTAAGCCCCGGAGCTGTCATCTCTGCAGTGACAGCTACAGGCATGCCCTTCTGCCTGGGCCAGGCAGGCATACCCCACCCTCCCAAGGTGCCCACCACCCCTGTCCTTTAAAAGAAAGAGACTACAGGGAAGCTGATCATCTGTCTCTTGCTCTGAAGGTGGCTGTGCCAAGTGACATTTTGTTTTGAGGATGTTCTCCATCCCCTGGCTGCCTTGCACTCAGCTCCAATATCCAGTGAAGTGAGGTATGTGCTCTGAGCAGCTCACGCTGGAGAGGCAGCTGCCCTGGGGTGGAGGCAACAATGTGTCTGTATATTCTACTCTGTATTATAACAATAATCATGATGATGATGATGTTATTAATATTAAAGAGCTAACATTTATTGAGCTCTTACTATGTGCCAGACACTGTTCTAAGTGCTTATATTTATGTAATAGTTTGCTATTGCTGCTGTGACAACTGACTACACACTTAGTGGTTTAAAGCAATACAAATTTATTATCTCACAGTTCTGTGGGTTAGAAGTCTGACAAAGGTCTCACTGGGCTAAAAATCAAGGTGTAGAAGGGGCTGCATTTTTTTCTGGTGATTCTAGGGCTGATTCCTTTTCCTTACATTTATATATTATAGCTTTCCGAGGCCTGCATTCCTTGTCTTGTGGCCTTTTCTTCCATTTTTGAAGCCAGCAACATTGTATCTCTGATGCTTCTTCTGTAGTCACATCTCTCTGTAATCCAGCTGGAAAAGGTTCTTTGCTTTTAAGGACTCATGTAATTAGGTTGGACCCACCTAGACAATCCAGAACAATCTCTCCATCTCAAAGGCCATACTTTAAACACATCTACAAAGTCCCTTTGCTATGTAAGATAACATAGTCACAGGTCCCAGGGGTTAGGGCATGGACATTTTTTAAAGCCCATTTTTCTGCTACCACAACAAACTTGAACTTTTTTTTAACTTGGTGATATTTAATGCAAACAATAAATTTTTATTTTTGAACATATAAAATTAGATATACATATATTTTTTTCCCAAGGTTTTGATTTCTATTTTTTTGGTTTTTCTTAAAATTAAAAAAAATTTAAATTAATTTAAATTACAGTTGGCATTCATTATTATATTAGTTTCAGGTGTATAGAATAGTGATTACACATTTATATAATTTATGAAGTAAACCCCCTGGTAAGCCTAGTACCTCCCTGACACTATACATAGTTGTTATAATATTATTAACTATATTCCCTATTCTGTACTTTATATCCCTGTGATTATTTTGTAACTGCCAATTTGTACTTCTTAATCCCTTCTCTTTTTTCACCCAGCCCCCTAATACCCCTCCCACCTGGCAACTATCAGTTTATTCTTTGAGATATACATAGTTTTTATTTTTCAATTCTAGTTGACATGCAATATTATTTTGGTTTCAGGTGTATAGCATAGTGGTTAGACATTTATATAACTTAGAAACTGATCCTCCCAATAAGTCTGGTACCCCCCTGACACTATATACATACTTATTACAATGTTATCGACTATATTTCCTATGCTGCATACTATAACTGGCAATTTGTATTTCTTAATCTCTTTCAACTTTTTCACTCAGCCCCCAACACCCCTCCCATCTGGTGATCATCAATTTGTTCTTTATATCTATGAATTTGTTTCTGTTTTATTTGTTCATTTGTTTTTTAGATTCCACATATAAGTGAAATCATATGGTATTTTATTTGTCTGACTTATTTCACTTAGCATAATAGTTCCATCCATGTTGCTGCAAATGGCAAGATTTCATTCTTTTTTATGGCTGAATAATATTATATTTTATATACGCATCACATCTTTATGCATTTGTCTATCAATGGACGCTTAGGTTGCTTTCATATCTTGGCTGTTGTACATAATGCTGGAATGAACATAGTTTTTTGAATTAAAGTTTTGATTTCTTCAGCTAAAAACCCAGAGTTAGAATTCCTGGGTCATATGATAGTTCTATTTTAACTATTGGAGGAATCTTCATACTGTTTTCCATAGTGGCTGTACCAATTTATAATCCTACCAATAGAGCACAAGAGTCCCCATTTCTCCATGTCCTTGTTGTTTGTTGATTTATTGATGATAACCATTCTGACAGGTGTGAGGTGATATCTCACTATGGTTTTGATTTGCATTTCCCTGATGATTAGTGATGTTGAGTATCTTTTAATGTGTCTGTTGGCCATCTGTATATCCTCTTTGGAGAAATATCTATTCATGTCCTCTGACCATTTTTCAATTGAATTTTGTTTTGATGTTGAGCTGTATGATTTTGTTATATATTTTGGATATTAACCCTTTATCAGATGTATCATTTGTAAATATCTCCTCCCATTCATTAGTTTGCTTTTTAGCTTTGCTGATAGTTTCCTTTGGGTTACGAAAGCCTTTTAGTTTGATGTAGTCCCATTTATTTTTGCTTTTATTGTCTTTGCCTGAGGAGACATATACAAAAAAATATTACTAAAAGCAATGTCAGAGAGTTTATTGCCTATGTTTTCTTTAGGAGTTTTATGGTTTCAGGTCTTACATTTAAGTCTTTAATCCATTTTGAATTTATTTTTATATAATCTAAGAGAGTGGTCTAACTCCATTTTTTTGCACGTATCTGTTCAGTTTTCCCAACACCATTCATACTTGAATTTTTTCACCAAATAGACCAGTGAGGTATGTAGTCTTATTTCCCTCATTTTAAAGATAAGGAAACAGGCACAGAGATGCTAAATATCTTACCCAAGATTACCTTACCAGTAGTAAGGACTATGAGAGGCTACCAATTTGAACTTCATTGGCTCTTGAAAAGTACAACATTTAGTGGAGACAGACTTTTGAGCCCTGCCGCCTCCAGTATTCAGGGAGGATGGAGGCGTCACTGATGAGGAAAACTGGAGGCAAAGTTTTCCGGAAGCCAAGGAGAGGTGGGCAGGCTCTATTTGGGATTTAAATTGAGGCAGCCTGACTCTATAGTTTTGTACCTTAGTCACTGTGATAAAAGCGGAATCAGAGAGCAGGAGGCAGACAGTGTCCAAGTTTCATGTGGTATAAGGCCAAGTTTCTCTAGATCAGCAAAGCAGTGGAGCAATATGTGTTTATCGAGCACCTACTATGTGTCAGGCCCTGGGAAGGGCTTTCAGGAGGATGTGACAGAGCTCCAGCCTGAGCCCTTGTACTAAGGTCTTTCTCTTTTCATGTCTTATTTCTGTATGAAGGGATGGGAAGGTTAACTGCAGAGGTTAACTAGAAGAAAGGACTGTGCTATTGTAAGTTTAGGACCTGGGGCTCTGGATGAGCCCTGGTGGAGGACTAGGTTGCCCTGCACCCCATAAGACCCTGTTGGATCAGCCCAGAGCCTGTGGGGACTGACTCACCAGGCTGACTCTTCTGTCCATCCATCACAATGGGGAATGGCCCTCAGTGAGCCTGGAACCTGCAAATCATAGAAATTAAGACCAAATAGAGGGGGAACCAGCACCCCCCCTGGCAGGGCTTCTGGCCATCGAGGAAGCTCAGGAACTTTATGGATGTTTCCTCCAATTTTGTGGTCCAGCTAGGAGGCAAAAACATGCTAGCTCAGCACAAGGCCTCTGCTAGATGCTTCTGAGTAGGAGGGAGGGCACCACCTCTGCAGGATTCTCAGCACCATTCCCAACACTCTGCTGGCCCTGCTTTCCCAACCCCAGGGATCACTAACGTCAGCATCCAGTCTGCTTGTAGGGCCTCCTCAGCCTCATACTGTGGGCTCCTTTCTCTTTATGCTCTGCTCTGTCCTTCACACAAACCTCTGGAGGATGGAGCCCACAGAGCCAGAGGAGGAAGGAAAACAACGACAAGTCACCTTGCTGGGCTGCAGGCCACTGGCCTACCCTTGCTCTTGCCTCTTCTTCTGTGCTCCTATATCACTCAACTGCTGGAAGAGCTTCCTGCTTCCCGCCAGGGGCAACTCCCAAACGAACCCATCTCCTTATTTTTTTTTCCAGGGGAAAGGAGGCTAAGCTCTTGATGTGCAAACTGTGGTGTGCTGGTGATGGTGGCAGGATGGTGCGATAGGTGCAAGGCCCAAAACAAAAATAATTCTCCAGTTCTCCAGGTCCTTTACCTTTAATCCTAAGGTCATTCCCAGCTCTACCATTCTATGATTCATCATGGCATCTCTACCTTGTGACTCATCTAACTGGCCTTGGGTTCATGGCTTAACCTCTCTGTGCCTCAGTTTCCTCACATGTAAACAAAGGATAACAATAACATCTATCTCATAGGATTATTATGGGGAGTAAATGATTTAAATGTGTAAAGTGTTTAAAATGGCACCTGCCACTTAGAAAGTGTTATACAGTATAGTTATTATAATTGTTTTTTATTGCTCATGTTATTAAAAAGACCATATTATGTTGTTTTAAGATTGCGGGGTCTAGAGTCAGGAGAACCTAGGTTGATTAGAGTCCTAGATGTTCCACTAATAAGCCGAGTGACCTGTAGATGGCAAAAGACCTGGGAAAGTGGCTTTACCTTTTGGAGCCTCAGTTTCTTTATATGTAAAATAGGTATAATAATAAAGATAATGACAATGTTGTAAAGTTATTGTGATGATTAAATGAGACAACTGAATAAATTTGCTAAGTTAGCTATAAATTACCTAGCACACAATTGCTTTATCATCCTGACTGGAGATTGGATTTAAGACAGTCTCTAAGGGAGCAGGTGGGACTCCGACGAATAGTCATAATTTTCAGAATGACCAAATTATGCCAGAAAACTTCATAGGAAGAGTGCCTGCTCTTCATTGGACAATGGGAAGACTCAGAGCAGGACTCCTGGTTCTATTCCCAGGCTACCGCGGGACCAGAAGTGGGGCGGTAGTAGTGGCAGTGGAGATGGTGGGAACTGGCCCCCTCGTGGGTTTCTCATACTGAGAGGGAGTAGACACACTGCCAGACCTGTGAAGGGTACAGATGGGCTTTGTCACTGGTGGGCACCTGCTTCTGGTAATGGCACACCCAGAGTGCCTGGACACAGCAGGGTGTCGGGGGAGAGCAAGATAAGCATCATACTCACTAGAGCCTTCCCTGACCTGCAAATCTGTTAAGTTCCATGTTATACACTCTCAGTACTCTCTATTCTTTGCTTTTTTAGCTCATCACAATTTATAAATAGGTAACTTTTAAGTGATTATTGAATGTTTGTCTCCCCCACTAAAATATAAGCTCCCTGAGA